AATGTTCAAACATCTTCCAAACCTAGAACTGAGGTGGAGACACAGCTCAGTCAGAGTTCAGCTCCTGTCCTAGGCAGTCAGGCAGAAGACCACAGAGGAAGGCTCCTATAGTTGCCTCTGGCTGCCTCCTGTGCACGAACACGTACCTGCATGTTCATATGCACACATCACAACCATGAACAGATGCATTTTCTTTGAGAAGACCCATGGTCACCATCAGTACTTTTCAACACTGTACCCCAGGTCTGTAAGAAGAAGCCAAACTGGAGCCATTTGGGATAGAATTTCCATTTTGAATAAGGGTCACCAAGATCTCCGCAAACCTCCCTGGGTACCTGACATCCTGGTTGGCAAGCTGAACCATGAATGGTGGGCAAGCTAGCCCTACCACACTTGAGTGGACCAACCAAGGACAACAAGGTAAGTGTACCAAAGAATGTCCCAAGGAATGTCCCCTGCCTGAAACCTGACTGGTAGAAAATGTACCTGTAACTTGGTACAGGTGTCTGTGTTTTTTCTGCTTAAGTACTTGCTAAAATGAGCGTTCCGGGGGCACAGTCATCTCCCAAGTCTATACTGTTGTTCCTGACTGGTCTGTTTTTACTGCCCAATTCAATAAAGATCTTGATTTGTGTGGACTCTTGTGCCTAACAGGGTTGTTTCAGACTCTCACACCCCACATTCCTACCTATCACTGTAGTAAAATAAGGATCAGAAACAAAACAGCCATAAAGGGCAGATGAAAATTAAAAAGTGCCAGGTGTGGTGGCGCACGCCTTTAATCCCAGCACTTGGGAGGCAGAGGCAGGTGGATCTCTGTGAGTTCAAGGCCAGCCTGGTCTACAGAGTGAGTTACAGGACAGCCAGCGCTGTTACACAGAGAAACCCTGTCTCGAAAAAACAAATAGGAAAACAATCAACAGAGACATATAATGCTTTTGACTGAGAAGACACGTGTAACAGATGCAAGTTTTCTCCAAGTTGATTCGCACATTCAACAGAATTAGAGAAGACAATGCACAAATTTGGTAGGACACATGTGTACCATATGCAAAGGACTAACATCCAGAACATACATAGAAACCATACTGATCAATGAAAGACAACTTATCAAACATGGGCAAAAGACATTAATCACTATTTCACCAAAGAGGAAATATTATTCTATCAGTAATCAGGGGAATGAGAATTAAACCCACCATGAGATACTGTATTAACAGGCATCCAACTGGCAAATACTAGACAGTCTAGAACAAGTGTTGCCAAGGTGTAGAACCAGGAACTCAAGCTGTGTTGCCAGTGAGAGCATGCCAGAGCCCAGCTCTGCATTACAGTGGACTCCTCCTACAAACTGCATTATTCAAATCTATCATCTCTGAACCTCTGATGTCAAAAATGGAGGCCCTCAGAGCTACAGCACATGCAGGGCCATCTGCTAGCACTCACCACACGAGAAACTTTTAAAAGACACAAAACATGCATGTATGTGCTTGATTAGGTATCAGCTGTGAGGCTACACACTAGGACAGTTTTTAAACTGGGGGAAAAGAGTAAAAAGGGCAGATGTCTCAGTGGAGTCATGAAAACAGTTGTCCTCAAAGACCTTCTTTAGGTATGGTTATTGAACCATAGTGCAGTACTTCAAAAACAACTGTCCTAGAACAACTCTTGCACATACAAGGAAATGGGTACAAGAAACTACACAGTCCTTAAACATTTATTGTCTGTCCTGTGTCACTGTTTTCAACAATGAATACAGCAAGGAACAAAGAGTTTACATTATAATTGGCCAGAATGTCCATAGCAGCATTGTCTTCAATAGCAAAAAAAAACTGAAAATAAGAATTCGAATCCTGGCAAACAGAAGACCAAATAAAATTGTAGAATAGTAACACAATGAAATATATAGCAGTGAAGACATGAAATAATCACATGCATAAACATGAATGTAAATTTTAAAAAATACCAGAAAATATGTCACAGGAGAATACATATATCATGATGACTTTTACAAACCAGTTTACAACCAGGTAAATTTAAACATTTTATTAAGAATGTACACATGTCTGACAGAGCTACAAATAAACACATGGAAATAATTGCTAAAAACAAATCCTGCGCATTTACGCGGTATGGTGTGTGTGCAGGGAGGAGAGACAGGACAGGTGTCTCTAGACAGTTGGGAATGTTCTGCTTCTTAAGCAAAGCTTGATAAATAAAAGTCAACATTTTACTTACTTTACCCATACAGTTTACGGTTGGCACACACTGGTTCACAGCAAATATTTTTAAACAAAAAAGATGTGCAGTTGCACACTACTCCACCAAACAAGACGACATCACTACTTCAGTCACTGTAGTGCAAATGAGAGGCACTCAACAATAATGGGCAAGTCCATGCATACAAAACAACCAAGTGTGATGATTTCTCACTGAGTCAGGTAAAGAGCCAATGAGCTCACAGTACTACAAGCCACCCTTCCTAATCAGCCATCGCACATCTCTGCATCTCTGCATGAGTACTTCCTTCACTGTGTATGATTATTTCTACAAAGCAGATGGGCCAGGCATAGGGGGACTGCAAGTTCAAGGCCAGCCTGGACTGCATAAGCTCTGAGCTAGCCTGGGGCCTGATGAGAAACCAATTGGCAATGTAAAGCATACCACCTCTCCTTTACCAAACGCTGTTGTTGCATTTGTGGGCTAACTTTATCAAACCCTGGTCAACACACAGTCATTCTCAACGGCCTCTCTTCATCAAAGACAGCTTCCTTCTGGCATGCAGAAAATATCAGCCATCTCCAGAGACTGTCTGCCAATATTATCCCTGTCTGTGCCAGTTTATGGACTTGTAACAGTTAAGGTACAATTTCTCCTAGTTTAGGGAATTCACAAATATTTTGCTTATCAATTCAGAAATTCTGGAAAACAAAAGAGCTCTTGAAATATTTAACCCACTAGTCGCTGAAGTTTTTATCTTCCTGGTCTGTGGAGTGGGAAGGGCAGACTAGTTGTGGCAGCAATGAGCCCAAGGACACCAGCAACTCATCAGCGAGCTGTCCATCAACACACGTGCAGACACACCCACACCGAGCTAGCGACACCACCCACAATCTCACCCACATTTAGCTGGAATGAACAAGGAGGTCCGACTGCAACCTGTGCATCAAACTCTGGGAGTTTCCAAATCTGTCAAGCACCTGCTGCGCTGTGTTTTACTAGATGAACCTGTTGGGATCAGGAGACACCCCCACCCCACCCCAAGCACACATTTTCTTCTTTCTTTGAAATCTTAGTTCGGCAGAGGACAGAAGCAGCACACTGACAGGGAGATGGAGAGCCATTGGGACCAGGAGGTTAACCCTGAGATTCTACAGCTTTCACTCAGCTTAAAGAACCTGGTTTTTGTTTCTCCCAGAATGTTAGTTTGTTTTCCCATGCATGATCAGAGTGATACATTTACTTACAGAAATACACAAGCACAGGGACTTACAACTCTAGACCTGAAGGGAGGAAGGCCAAGGGCATCTTGCTTCTCTGCGAGTAAGAATCTTAAGTGTAGTGCCTCAGGCCTGCAATCCAGCAGCTGAGAGGCTGAGACAGAGGAGTGCCAGGAGTTCAAAGTTAGCCTAGGTTACAGAATAAAACAAAACAGTATCTTGCCCAACAAGCTTAGAAGGGAGGACAGTGGCCTGCCTCGGGTTCTCTACACTTCAGCTGATACTTTCCAGTGTTAGAGGAAGAGACTTGTTTGTCCCTCATGTGGATCTCCGTGATTTGAGGCCAGTCTGGTCTTTGTGGTGAGTTCCAGGACAGCCAGGGCTACATAGTGAGTGCCTGTCTCAAAGCAAACAAATGCACAAAAAAGGCAGCAACCAAGAGACTAACTTCTGACAGACTTTTAGATCATCTTGATCTTCCAGTTTCTCTATGCCCACCAATCTTGTTAAATCCTAGAACAACTTCAGGTTAGGCCCTCCTTTTTGAGATCTACCATCTCCCTCCTAAACCCATTATTTATCTTGCAATTTCCTTAGTTAAGAACCCCCGCCGGGCATTGGTGGTGCACGCCTTTAATCCCAGCACTCCGGAGGCAGAGGCAGGCTGTGCCTCTGTGAGTCTGAGGCCAGCCTGGTTTACAGAGCAAGTTCCAGGACAGTCTCCAAAACAATACAGAGAAACCCTGTCTCGAAAAACAAAACAAACAAACAAACAAAGAGCCCCAAGCAGGGTGAAGCAAGACAAAGCTGTAAGCTTCCCCAGTGTAATAAACACACTAAAAGTACTCTCCTTCAGAACCACCTCCACTGTGACCAAGATGCGAGACTGGGAATGGAAGAATACAAGGATGGCAAATGTCTTCACTCACCTGTTCAGATATTCAAGGTGCCGTTGACGGCCCAGGATGAAGACCATGAAGACCAGGTTTCTGCACACTCACTCACCATCAGAGACCAGACAGGGTCATTGCTAACAAGTAAGGGGACAGTATTTTTTGAGACTGTGAAGAAAAAGGTCAGGGAAGGTGTGGCAGACTGGTCAAGTTATTAAGTGGCAGGAGTGGAAACGTGGATTACAGACAGGATGAGGTGTGTGAAGAAAGACAGATGTGGCATCACAGACATGGGGAGCTGTGCAAATCCCAGGGGTGCTCGGGTGACAAGACAGTGGGCTGAGAGAGCCCCTTAGATCTGGGACATGCAACATTCCACCGAAAGGAAACAAAGACGAAACAAGTCTCGTCCAGACTGTCTCTTGGGGCCATCTGTCTGTTTACTTGCACACAGATGAGCACAACTGCAACGCAGGAAGGGACAAGTGGGCATCAAATCCTGGAGAAAATGACTCCTGTCCACAAGCTAACTTCAGTTTCTAGACAGTCCGACTTAAGTTAGAGACTACCTTTGCATTCCAATGAACGACACGCATCAGCATCCCACAGATGGGCTCTGCCACCACTACTCTGTATCATTCCAAGTGAATAATAACACCTGTAACTGTTTATAGCAAAAGGGTGCTTTTATTTTACATATCATTGGTACACAATACATAGAACTGCCTAAAGTCAGTCTTAGGGAACACAACAATTACACTTCAGATGGCCAAAGGCCAAGCCTACTTGCAGTCTCATTAGGAGCAGGTACCTACAGGAGCTCCAAAGACTAATCACTGCAGACAGAATGTAACAAATGGTCTTTACGTTATAAGTGCTATCATTTTAAAATAAAAGTCCTTCAGTTATAGCAGACACTCTCTAAGCAGAACCCATTTTTGCTAGTCTACAAGTCTTTGAAATAATCGATGAACAGATTCACTTTTCTACAGATGATTAAACATGTAATTGTATTATGGGGCAAGGGTGCCTCAGACATGCAATCAGATTATTTAATCTTTAAATACAGACTGAGTTTATATATAACTTATTTTTAGTTAAACTGCCAAAATAATTTGCTAAACTAAAATTAAGTCAATACAGTTTTTCAGAAAACATAATTCTAAGAGCATGCAATATCAATAATATTTTTACTTTTTTATATTCAACCAAAGTCCAGAACACAGGAAAAGAAGCTTGTGACACAGAAACTGTTATACAACTTTGAGAGGATAGTAAGAAATTTAACTGAATGTAAATCCTCTTAATAAGAAATATCTGCCTGGATGTGATGTAGGTTGGTGTTAGAGCACTGGCCTAGTGCCCAGGCCCAAGCTCGGATAATCCCTAGCACCGGGAAAAAAAGGAAGGAAGGAAGGAGAGATGGTGGAAAAAAGAAAACAGAGTCTACATGATATGGATTGAAGCTTCACAATGTGCGAGTCCTCAGAAGCTACAGGTGCTCATATCAGCATGACGAGTCGTTATACTCATGTTCACACAGTTCTAGCGTTGCATGAATTACTAACACCAAAGCCGCACACATCTGCTAAGGGTATCTTTCAGTCACCAGTCCCGTAACAGAAACAGAAAAATGACTTATGCTTAAGGAAGTAGGCCAATGAAGAAAAAATACAATTTGGGCAATTCTCAACGTAAAAAAGATTTATTATTTTAACAAATTGCTTGGTATAGAAAGGCCACCCTTTTGTCAAAGAAGCAAGTTGTATGTTAGAACCATGAGCTCTTTATCTGTCTCCTAATCTAGAATAGAAGATGCCTTTACGCAAAATAAACTAAATCACATACTAAATAGATAAAAAAGTACACACACAAAACCAACATTCTAGTCTGCTTTACATCAACTTATTCCTCAACAATAAATGTTTCAAGATGTAAACTGTTAATTAATGCAGAGGATAGGGACTGAAAGGCAAAAGCTCTCTAATGAAGTAAAGTAACTGGTCTTGAAGCACACTCCCCATAGCTGACTGTTCTTCTAAGCTGAGCACACACACAACAGAGTCTACCATTCAAGATGTGCAAATCTGCATACCATGTAACTTTGGTTAAGACATAGTTAGCTCCTACCAGACACATCATGGAAGCTACACAAATGATCTTAAACATAATAATGAGGTAAGTTCAAAGTCTACTAGTGCAAAAAGCAAGCACTGCCCGAAGCAAAGCCCACGGAGATGGAGGCAGAGGAAAGCTCTCCCACAGGAGCTGCTGGGACAACTAGCCAGAGGGCTCCTTGTAAACACTGCTTGGAAAGTACCCATTTAGTAATTAAGTATTCATGTATCCTAAAAAGGTATTCTAGTAACACCAGAGTAGTGCATTTGTTTTTTATCTTTAGAGTTCAGAAACCACTCATGTGTCTAATAGCTTGCATATTTTCTTCAAGAGAAATTTAATTAGTGAGACACATTAATTACAAATACTGTAGTATAAAAATCCCAGTCTTTACAAAAATTATATATTAAAATATTCTATACACTTTAAGTTAGTAAGTGGCATATATATCCTTTCTTCACAATTAGAGTCATCTCCAATGGGCATATCATATGTAAAGCTGAAGGGCATAGCTCCTCAGTCACCCTAAACTGGCATTGCGATTGTGTGGCAAAACAAGTCAGACCTGGTCTCTTGCAGTGATGGCAGCTGTCGGCCTGAAACGTCTTTTCTCAAGTCATTGCTCTGTACTTGCTCGTTCCCGAGCTGACTAAGAGGTTAAACTCTGAGACTTTAGAAGGTGTAAAGTAAGTTACCTGCAGTCAAGTGGTCAAGAATTATCCGCATCTCTAAGGAGGTAAGGAGTCTGAACTGACTGTCTAATGCTTTTATTTCTGGTATAAAAAAGCGTATACAATTTTGAGGTAAAAATAATGCAAAAATAAAACATCTAGACCATTTACAAAAATCTTACAAATGTGAAAAACATATTAAAAACCTGTGTCCTGTTAAGGTGCCTCCTCCTTCTTCAAGAGGAAGACCTACTTGATTTTTAATGTGATGAAAGCAGTTAAAGCCAATAAGACTGCTGACAAATGACAACGTTCAGGGAATCACTCAATTTCTAAGGAAAATACAACTTTTAGAGCTGAAAAGGACCTTAACGGAAAACTCTTATAACTCCCTTACCTGCTCATGAAGAAATGAGGGGCCATTGAGATTAAGTGCTTTAGCTAAAGATAAAGTCAGATATACCAGTCACACACAAATCAAGACTGTTCCCTATCTTTTTCATATTTTGCTATGATTCTCAGAAAAAAAGTTCCTGAACTTTTCTTTCTCTTTCTTTTACTTTCTTAAGTTTGTGCTAACTATAAATAAAGGAACAAAGTGGTTACTAAAGTTGTATCATAAATCCTATGCGCTGGAAATGGCTGATAGAGCGCTGCTCATGGATAGTCAAGAGGGTACTCAGGCAGGGCATTTACAATGCGTAACACTCACCACAGCAAGGTGTACAACAGCCAGTTACTGGACTCCTCTCAGTAGCTGCAGGATGGCTGAGTTATGCAGCCGTTATAAAAGATAAGGGACAATACACCTTACAGCTTTTATCTTTGTTTTGTTATTTTTTCTTTGTAAGTAGCTTTATGGGTAAGGAAGAATCCATATACTAATTTTCAGTCTTTGCTTCTTTCTATTTTTATTTGGATCTAGAAGTGAGCAAATACATTTTAAGAACAACTTACAAACTCAAATTCATAACTGCTAGAAATACAGTCAGAGAATACTCTCAAAGAACAGGTCTTTATAACCAGTCACTAATAAATAACCATGACAACAGCTTTAATAGAAACAACTCAACTCAGAGGTGCCTTCTTATTGTTACCTTGAAGCCATCGCACTTGAGTGGCTGGTCCATAACCCTTTTCATTCTTTGCTGATATCCTGAATACAATGGCTGGTCTGGATGTGTAATCTATATGCGCGTTTGCAAGCTGCCCAGAAGTCACTGTACATGAGGTTTTAAGACCACAGTAGATCCTCATGAACACAAGCTGGCTTGGATTATCTTGCACCTGGGCTGTGCGGATAGCCAAGTAGGCTGAGTATTCCAAAATATTTCCAGACGGTGAAGTTGGAGGCTCCCAGGAAAGGTGGATGCCTTCGACATTCTGGAGAAGAGCAAGAGACAGGTGGTTCTCTGGTGTCATGGACAGTGTCTTTAGAGCTCAGAACCTTTCCTTCCTTCTCTCACTATATTAGACATCGGAACTCTGACTGCTGACTAAGACTTTACCCTACCCAGTTCACCCTTTATAGACACTTTTCACAAAGTGAGGCTTTGTATGCCTATCGTACCCCAGAGGGGATTCTCTTCCTCAGCAAAGCACAAGAGTTATTACAAATACAATGCAACTTCATATGTCCTAAAATGCAACTCTCCAAAATGAACTATGGGTGACGGAAACAGGACAATACAAACTGATTTCCAGCCCTGTGGTTTCATGCTATAATTCTACTTGCAATTTGGTACTGAAAAATACCAGGCATGGCTATCAAAACATTTTAAACATTTAATCTCCCTCTCTGAGGTATCTTTCTCAAGTGCTAGTAAGAACTTCAAAACCCAGAAGTTTCAAATCATTTGCATCACAACTTTTACTGGACCTGACAGATTACCTTGGAAATTCGGACTGTAGAAGGAGCTCCAGGAAAACCAGGGATACATGTTTTAAATTCACTGATTTTGCTGAAAGGGCCTATTCCACAACCATTGATTGCAGCAACCCTGAATTTATATACTGTTCCTGGGACCAGATCTTGTTTCTTAAGTAAACTGTAGTCAGGTACATCTGCATTTCCTACCTAAAATGTAAGATATTTAGAAGTCAGAAAAAAGGTTCATTAGTTGTTTCAAGGTTGTAATTATTCAACTTTTATTAAACAAAACATTTTAACAATGAGCTGTATTTTAGGAATCCAATTCATTCATGTACCTCCCTACTCACACAAACAGTAAAACTCTAATACAGAACCCGTTAATCCCTGCCTGATCATAGACTCAGATCCAATAGGAAGGTGATTTGAATCTCTGCCTATAAGGAGAAAGGCAAGGGAATTCCACACAGGAGAGGAAGGAAAGACAAAAACAAAAAGCAGAGGTGATATCACAATAAACAAAATAAATATCTCTTCCTTTGTGATTTAACTGGGAGAAGAATCTCAGACTTGCTGTCATATAATGGTCTCCTAGGAGCAAGTAACTAACCCTGAATAAATGTTACATAATGATATGCTCTTGGGTGCCAATACCCTAACATCTAACCCTTTCAAACGTTCTGAAGCTATTCTTCATACTGTCACCACACCTACTATGACAGAGTGCCAGTGGGCTATCACACTTTCTGGAAACCTGGGCATCTCTATTGTACAGGGAGGACACCGGGTCTCAGAGAGTTTAGACAACTGACTTGCCTCAGTTCACACTCAAGAATATTGGAACTAGAAATCCAAACTCAAGTTTACTAGTTGCAGATTTTCTGCTCTTTGGTTCTTTAGGAAAAATTAGGCAGCTAACATGTCTTTGCAATGGATGTATCCTTGTATGGACATAGATTCATCTCCAGTCAGGAATCTCTTTAGCCATAAAAGTAATGATTTTTTACTAGACTTTTCTTTTAAATCATGAAAATATCCAACGAGTGGTGGTGGCACACACCTTTAATCCCAGCACTTGGTGGCAGAGGCAGGTGGATCTTTGTGAGTGCCAGACCAGCCTGGTCTATAGAGCAAGTTCTAGGACAGCCAGAGCTAAGCACAGAAGCCTGTCTGAAAAGTCAAAATAATAATAGTAATAAGAAGAAGAATTGAAAATATTCAATGTGAAAAAAGGGGAAACGATGCCAAAAGTTTTGCCAGAGAAATGATGTGATTTTGTGAGTGTGTGTGTGAGAGATATAGGTTGCTTGGGGTACCCCTTATCTGAAATAATTGGGTATGGCTTTTTTTTGAGACAGGCTCTCACTATGTAGCTCTAGCTGTTCTGAAACCCACTCTAGACTAAGCTGGCCTCAAACTCACAGAGATCTGCCTGCCTCTGCCTGATGAGTACTGAAATTAAAGGTGTGTGCCACCATGCCCAGCTTGAAGCAAGTGTTTTCTGTTTTTCCCCCCACCCCAGTTGGTTTCTGTGTGGCCCTGGCTGGCCTAGAACTCACTTTGCAGATCAGGCTGCCCTGGAGCTCAGAGCTCTGCCTGCTTCTGCCTCCTGAGTGCTGAGATTAAAGGTGAGCACCACCACCACCTGGCAAATACTTTTTAAATGAAGTGTTTGTGCCAATTTACAAAAGCAGCACTAAAGAATGTAAGATTACATATACAGAACTCTGAATAATACCCTGTGGAAAGATCCCAATTTGATTCCTTCAAATGACCTTCAGTTATCACAAATAATCTCATTCTCAAGGTTCATAATTCACTTTTTGTATATTTAGCTTGCTTTTTGAAATGCTAAGAATTGTAGCCAAAATTACACACATGCTAGACATGCATTCTGCCAGTTATATACTCAGCCCTCAAAATGTAGAAAATTACCAATAATTACCTTTGACATACTTTGTTTTCCTTTTGGTAGCAAATAAAACTGGCTCACCAAAGCGGTATTGTTTTTAAAAATTCCCACATCACACCATTGTTGTTCTGTTTTCAAACTGGCCACTGGATTTGAAGGTGTCTCTTTCTAATTTTAGAGAAAGGAAAAATTATGAAGACCTTATTGAGTATAGAAACGTCAAGACTTGTGTAATCCCATACAGCGATCTACAAGTGTGTACATGGGTGAACAACACACACTACCAGCTCATGATGAACAAGGTCTTAACAGACTAGGTCACTGACAATGGAATGGAGATGCTAATTAAACACAGGGTGTAACAGGGACTCTCTGCCAAGAGCTTGCTACTATTAACCTGCGTGCAGTTAGCATCCTTCCCAATCAGTAGCAGATTAAAATGCCACAACACTGTCATTTCAGAGACCCTCAGAAAGTGTAATCCCTTTAGAGACATGCTACTATCTGATCCAAAGGGAACAGGTAGAAAGCTCCATTCCAAGCTGGTCTTTTCTCTAGATTCAAAACCAACAAGCAGAGATGCAGTAACCTTTGTATTTGAAATACCTGTGATTCTCCAAACCTAAAAGGAGAAAAAAAATGTTCAAAACTAAAATGAAATTTGAATACACTTCAATATATACTAAAAAGAGGAGCAGATTAAACTGTTTTGCATTTCTTTTCTCTGCTTTAACAACAGACCTTCTTAGTTGGGCATTCAGGAGGCAGAGGCAGGCCGATCTCTGTGAGTTCAAAGCCAGCCTAGTCTACAAAGCTACACAGAGAAACTCTGTCTCTGAAAAAAAAAGAAACAAAACAAACAAACAAACAAACAAAACCAGACCTTCTCTAACTTAAAGCTCCTCTCAGTAGAGAGGAGCTAACTTTTTAAAACCATCTTCTTAGAAATAAGACACTGTTTCTAGAAGCTCAGCACAAATGTGCATTTCAGTTACTTATTTCTGACTGCAAGACACAGCAGCAGAGGTGCACACCCATCACCCACAGATTTTGTTATTCAGTCTAGCACACAGGACAAAATCAACTAACTAGAAGAGTCTTTAAAGGTTAAGGACAGCTAAAGCTCTAAAAACTTCAATGACTCTGATGAAGCACCTGGCCACAACTGAAATAACAAAAACTATGTGGCTGGTAAGTCACAGAACGGATTCAAAAGGAAAATCTTTCCATTTACTAATCCTATCGAGAAGAGACAACAAACACAGACTTAACGTTCTGGAAGGTGAGCAACAATGGATGAAGGAAAATATATGATCAAAATCACAAAACAAGCCGGGCATTGGTGGCGCACGCCTTTAATCCCAGCACTCTGGAGGCAGAGGCAGGCGGATCTCTGTGAGTTCGAGACCAGCCTGGACTACCAAGCGAGTTCCAGGACAGCCTCCAAAGCCACAGAGAAACCCTGTCTCGAAAAACCAAAAAAAAAATCCCAAAACGAAAAGAAAAAAATTATGGAAAATTCTTAAACACCCTAAAAGACAAGCAAGAAATCAAATAAAATAATTGCAGCAATAAAGTGAAATGACGGTTATTTTAACCATAAAAATAGTATGATCCTCATATCTATCTAATTAAGGCAATCCTGGTGTATCTGAGGCACATTTCAAGTACTTAAATTGGTGATATGCAGATCCATTGTGACCATCCACAAAACAACTAAATGTCTAATTCTTGAGCTGGCCTACATATATGTCAATGTATTATAGCAATGTTCTGTTGTGCTCCTATGAAGTAGTTACCCAAGTACTTCTGTTCCATAACAAATTCTTCAACCAGTAATGTGATTTACATTAATTCACACAAATGTATGTTCATTTAAACATACATAAAATAAAGAAAGCATGGAAAAGAATGTCAAAATTATCTGTGTTGAGGGTGCATTGTGAGTTGGTATGCTGAGAATGTAAAATATGTGTATTATATGTCTTATATCAAAATTGGATAGACAAAATATGCATTATTGTAGTCATCTTTTTTCACTAAATATATTATGAACTTTCCTACTCATTCACTTACTTCTAAATTTATACTGATTCCTCACTACATGAGGCCTGAGAACCTTTTCATTTAAACACACAAACTCATCTGTAACATGCATCACCACCAGATCATATACTTACAGAAAATGGCGTTGATGCAACATGTACCTCTACACGGCTGATCTTAGTTGCAGGCAGAGCACATATTTCATCAACTGAAAATCAAACCATCAGTTAAGTATTAAATAATCTCACAGACATATTAAACATATGGGTATTTAATGTCACCAAAAGCTTAAACATAATCTATATTACATGTATTTCACCATGATTAAAAGAACCACAAGACTGGGGAGCTGGAGAGAGATCTCAATCAATTCTATCCCAGAACCACACACACACACACACACACACACACACACACACACACACACACACACATACACACACAAAAGACTGGGGAAAATAGCCAGAGATATCAGCAACCAACAATCACTCAAACTAATCACAATGTTCCTTTCATAAGCTATAGAGAAAGAGGATGTTTACCAAAGATGACCCAGTTCCTATTACAAGAAAACAAGTGGTACAGTTAGCAATCAGTTCACTTTGGAGGACTGTTAATCCTCTGGACTAGTCTTTCCTAAGGGAAAAGTCTGCTGGATTTATTCACATAGACCAGAGAGGCTGCATCCTAGTGTGTGCTGATCTAAACCTCTTCATAAAGGAGCTAGGGGTACATTGGGATGTGGAGTATAGCTCAGTGCAGCATTCTGATGACTCTGGGTTCAAGTACTAACATGACAAGCAACAAAAACTTGTCTACATTTTGAGATTAATAAGAGCAGAGATCCACACCTTTAATCTCAGCATTCAGAAGGCTGAGGTAGGAGGATCCTAAGTTAGGAGATGAGGCTGGGCTATACAGTGAGATCTTATCTCACAAAAAAAAACACCAAAAAGTCCAAGAAAAAAAAAGACTTTTATATATTTACCTTAACTGCTTCATGATTTGCTTCACAGTGGAATACAATTTCCATCTACATTGGTAACTCTGATGATTTATAATAAAGCATAAATGGTTCAAAATACAGTCCTGAAACATGTTCCAAACTTTAGATTTGGTACTGAATGTTGCTAGTGAAGTCTCATCTTTAGCAACTGTCCCATTTGTACTGAATGATTCAGTTTCAATAGTCTACTGGGCTACCGTAGTTTGCATGCTGGAAACAGTACTGGAGAACGAAGTTTTGGGAATTACTGTTGTTAGGTCCAGGCAACTATTCAGGACACCTACATGTGCTGAAGCATGAAGATCTGCGTTTAAATGGAAAGGTTGCTGGTATGAAGGCTGGAAATTGTGCGTTACTGCTTTTGTCTATGTCTCGGTGCTTTCAGTTTTCAAAGTCACAAACATGCACAGTGCACACAGCACTAATGTGGAGTGGCCACTGGGTAGAAAATGGACGTCTAACATCTCAACTCCCTTTCCACTCTAAATAGTGACTTTGCTACTAAACTACCGATCAGATGATTTTGTCACTCAGTTTAGGGTGGAGAGGGCATGAGTTTCTTCAATGTTCTGCCTTCTCCTGCCTAAACTGGAAATATGTTTATAATCCTGTCCATTTTTTGTCTTCCCTCCCATTGTGGAAGAAAAATAGTGGTGCCTATGAGTTACAGTCATTCATCCCACAATACTGAAGGCTTCTATAGGGTATTATGTTTACTTCTCTGAGAGTGAAGGAAAACAGGGTTCGTGCTGCAAAAACTTCTACATCTGGTAAACATATACATACCAAGAGTCACAAACTATAATGCCCACCAAAAAGGAAAAGACAAAGATAACAAGCAACCCCTGCCCCCCCACCTAAGCTGAGGGTCTCCTTTCTCACTCTCTTCATGTGGTGTTGAGTTGAGTGTCCCTCTCTTTGTACACCCTGTGCTGTAAACACTAGTCACGAATCACTCAGAGTCAAGCATGTATGACCTGGGCACAGTATTGGCTGTTGGGAATCTAGCAGCGAACTTGTCAACAAGGCCTCTGCTGCTGTGAACTTACATTTCTACATTTGTATGTGAAGCTGAGAACTGCTTCCTAGACTCCACACCCATATATTAAACGGCCCAGTATGTCCCTCAAGTGCCTCGGTTAAGTTCCCAGTTGAGCAGTCTTCCTAATGTGATCTTGTTCCTGCATCTTCATCTGGATGAACATCAGTGTCCATTCTGACGTTCAACTAAATGCAGTCTTATGTGACTTGCTCTCTTCCCTCATAACCAACCAGCTGCCAAGCTTCCGTACCATGCCTCTCTAAGAGCCTGTCTTTTTTCTGCTCTGTCTTACCTACTGCGTTGTCTTTCTGCACATCAGTTTGAGGGCACTAAAGAAGCCCTACTCAGTCTTTTAATTATGTCCTAAAACGTCTCTTCCTCTGGCCAGGGGAAACACAAATCTGATCCTACACTCCTTTCCTCCTGAAAACACGCACTGGCAGGTCTTGCAGTCTGTAAAGAATGTCCCAAGTCTGAGTAGCCAGCCCCTCACAGGACCTATGATGTGTCAGCCACCTACATCCTCTGCCTTTACTATTTGCTCAGTACAGTTTTACTGAAGATTCGGAAACCTTCAAGCTCAACTATGCTTTCAGCATGTAAAACTTCTTTGAAAGACAGAAAATTACAAATAAGAAATTTTAAACTGGAAGTTGAGGACCAAGCTTATCTATACCAAGCAATACCTTTACGTCAAGAAAGCCAGTAACCCTGTCAGGTGTAGTGAACCACACCTATGATCCCAGCACCTGGAAGGGTGAAGCAGGAGAATCACTAGGAGCTTGAAGCCAGCTAGTATGGGATACAGCGTGAGCCTATCTCAAAAGAAAAATAAAATAAAAGCCCAGTGGTGGTGTTGCACACCTTTAGTCCCAGCACTCAGGAGGCAGAGGCAGGCAGATCTCTGAGTTTGAGTTCAGCCTGGTCTACAGAGATAGTTCCCGGAGAGCCGGGACCACACAGAGAAACAGTCTTGAAAAAGAAAACCAAAACAGAATAAAAACCAAACATAAAAAGGAAGGAAAAACAACAAAAGCGCTTCTTTTGTGTAAGCAGAGCAAGGATAACATCACAGGAAATAATCTTTCTACACAATTTTTCTACTGTTCAAAACAGAAATAGAATTCAAATATAACCAACTGGGCATGGTGGATCATGCCTACAATCTCAACACTTTATAGACTGAGGCAGGAGGATTGCCACAAATTTGGGTCAGGCCAGGCTACAACACTAAGTTCCAGACTAGCATGGGCTACAGATTGAGATTCTTTTTTAAAAAACAAAAATTTAAAAACCTTAAAAAACAAAATTCAACAGAACATTCAAATAAGAAAATCATCAAATTATTAGCTGTGAACGCAAGTGATCAACGAACAGTTCCCACAACTGAGTCACCAGATACCTGCTGTTTAGTAAACACAACTATTTACTAAATGACAACCACTCAGCAAGCACAGCTGTCAGAATTTTGAAACAGAAATAAAATGAACAAATAACCTCATATATTTAAAAAGTGACAGAAACTAAATAAAAGGAAAGTCACACTCACCACACTGAACAAAATCAATGTCAACAAGAATTTCCCCAACTGGCTAGGCTGTGGTGGCGTACACCTTTAATTTCGGTACTTGAGAGGCAGAGGCAGATGGATCTCTGTGAGTTCAAGGCCAGCCTGGTCTACAAAGCAAGTTCCAGGACAGCCAGGATTGCTACACAGAGAAACCCTGTCCCCCCCAAAATTTCTCTGACTGAAGTTTCATTTGGCAAATGAGGTTCACTATGAAGAAAATTACCAAAACCATGTGATATAAGTATTTGCCTTTAATCCCAGCTCTTAGGAGTCAGAGGCAGATGGAGCTCTGTTAGGCCAGCCAAAACAATACAGTAAGACCTGGTCTCAAAACGAAAACACACACACACACACACCAAGAATCCAAGAATAGTATAATGTCTACTTTTTCAATAATTCTAGAATTCCCTATCAATGTTATAAAGGGTTAATTTTATTTAAAATATAGCCTTATACCTTCATTCTTCCATAGCATATCCGTCACACAACTGTTATTATTAGAAGCATTAGGTGCCAAAGGTGCATTAGAATCTGTTGCTCTGAAATCTGGTTTGCTTTTCAGTGAAGTTCCCTTCATGGCTGTGTGTTCAGTTTTTGCACTGTTTACTGTATCACTAACCTACAAGAATAAAACAGTTCATCATAGCAAGTGATGTTCAGTAAAATAGAAATACTTTTTAAAAAAGCAAGCAAAGTGATTTACAAGTACATCTGCGAAAGTAAATTCACCAACGGGGAGTGGTGGTGCACACTGTAATCCCAGGTAATTTGAGAGATGGGGCAGAAAGCTCCAATGCTGTAAGCTAGCCTAGGCTAGGAAATAAGACTCTCAAATCAACAACAGAAACAATTTACCAAAATGCAAAACATTTAAAATTACATTCCTAAATTTCATAATCATTCTTTTTTTTGGGGGAGGGGAAGAGTTCGAGACAAGGTTTCTCTGTATTGTTTTGGAGGCTGTCCTGGAACTTGTTCTGTAGACTAGGCTGGCCTTGAACTCACAGAGATTCACCTCCCTCTGCTTCCCAAGTGCTCAGATCATAATCATCCTTTAACTTAATATATTTAAGATTTTTTAACTTAATTTCCTTATTCCAAAGATTATAGTTTTACTTTAGCTGTTTCAAAACTCCTTATGTAATACAGGTGAGGCCATGACAACTGCTTACTTGACAGCGCCTTTATTAACTTTCTTTTGGTCTAGACAGGCTTTCTTTGTGTAGTCCTGGCTGTCCTGGAACTCGCTTTGTACACCCAGCTGGCCTCAAATCAGAGATCCGCCTGTGTCTACTTCTCAGGTGCTGGGGTTAAAGGTGTGCCACCACCGCCTGCACTAACAACTTTTAATTGACTGTGTGTAGTGTGAGGGCGCACTTGTGCATGTCACACATGAGGTCAGAGGACAACTTCATCGAGTCAGGTTCTTCCTGTCCTTATGTGGGTCCCAAGGACTGAACTCTGGTGGTCAGGGTTGCACACCAAGTTGTTGATTTACTGAACCATTTTGTTAGCAGCCCCTATTCAATTTTTAAAAAACAACTTAGACACATAGCAGAAAGAGCTGATGACTCCTAAAAGAAAATTTTCAGCACATCAATTATTCTGTATTACTGAATTTTACATATGAAGATTCAACATACTACATGTCAATACTATCTACTATTAAACATTTGATCAGAAACCTTTCTAATGCTGATTCTGGATGCTTGGGAGGCTGGGGCAGAGAAGATGGGATTCAGTGAAGAGGAGAGGAAAGAAAGGGAAGGAGAGAGGAAGGGAGAGACAGGGATTTTATTAATGATATTTTAATTTACCTACCTAAATATACTATAATGAACACATTTAAACTGTATGGCAGTTCAAATTATCAGTGGCACCATCAGTTATATAGTTGATGGACCCACAAAAATGACCTGCCTTAGGGATGCAGAGATCCAAGCCAAGCACCAGACTGAGCTGTGGGAGTTGAGTCAAAGAGAGGGAGGAGAGATTATATGAGCCAGGGGGTCAAGGTCATGGGGGAGGAAGGGGATACAGAGACAGCTGACCTGAGCTGCTGGGAGCCTGACAGCAAGGAGGCAACCTGCACTGGACTAAACCAGGCCCTCTGCATGTGGATGGCAATTGTGTGGCTTGGTCTGTTTGCAGGGCCCCTGGCAGTGGGACCAGGATCTGTCCCTGGTGCATGAGCTGGCTTTTTGGAGTGCATTCCCTGTGGTGGGATGCCTTGCTCAACCTTGAAGCAGTGGGGAGGGGCTTGATCCTGCCTCAACTTAAGGAGCAAGGCTTTGCTTACTTTTCGTGGGAGGCCTTACCCTTTCTGAGGAGTAGATGAGAGGTGGGTTGGGGGAGGTATGGGCAGAGGCAGGAGGAGAGGAGGGAGGAGGAACTGTTGTTGGTATGTAAAATGAATTAAAGATTTTAAAATAAAAAAATGACCTGCGTTTCTTCAAATACTCACAGATGCTGTGGTTTTACTCAGGCCTGTGTGTGTACTTATACTCATTGATGCTGTGTGTGTACTTATACTCACTGATGCTGTGTGTGTACTTATACTCACTGATGCTGTGTTTATACTCACTGATGCTGTGGTTTTACTCAGGCCTGTGTGTGTACTTATACTCACTGACACTGTGGTTTTACTCAGGCCTGTGTATGTACTTATACTCACTGATGCTGTGGGTGTACTTATACTCACTGATGCTGTGTGTGTTTATACTCACTGTTGCTGTGGTTTTACTCAGGCCTGTGTGTGTGTGCGCCTATACTCACTGAGCCACCTTACCGACCTCTAGATACTTTATTTCTTTCTAAACTGCTGCTGAGTTGCTGACTTGGATTTTACAAAAACCATTACATGAATTTTGGCTCACAAGGAATTAGGACAGAATTTTTAACAATTTATGGTATGGAGCTAAACATATTTCCATTTTGTCTGCATTATTTATGTGTAATGGAATTCTCAGCATCTCTAATAATAAAATCGAAATAGCCATCAATTTTCAAAAACATTGAAGATGTTCTAAATCCTCCAGTTAAGGAAAGTACAAACCATCTCATTCATATGCAAATTTGCTTTCTCTTTAATAATGGTAAAATTGTGTGTGTGTGTGTGTGTGTGTGTGTATATATATATACATTTTATATATATAGTATATATATATATATATATATAACTATTTTAAAAGTGATTTCTCAGGCTGGGGAGATGACTAGGCTGATAAGATACTTTCAGCACAAACATGAAGACCCAAATAAAAACACGTGAAAAAGCTGCATTTTGGGGTGGTATATGCCTGTGACCCCAATGCTGGGGAGGTGGAGATGGAGGACCCCTGGGGTTTGTGGCCAGCCAGTCCAGGTGGATTCACAAGACCTAGGTTCAGGGAAATCCCATCTTGATATACAGTACAGTAATTGAGGAGGATACCTGGTGTTGACCTCTGTCTTCCATGTGATCCTGAAGACAAATGCACACTTCATATACACACAATGTCTCTATGAATTATTAGCAAAATTCTTTTGTACACTTATTTTACATACCTATATATTGGATTATACAATTTTTTTCTTGGGCAAAAAAAAAGGGGGTTGTGAGTTGAAAAAGCTTAGGAGGTCCTGGTCAAGACACAAAAAAGAAATCGCTTTAGAAGTTGGAGTTCTGTTATGAGTTATTATAGGAAAGGAAAAAAATCTAAAAAGGGAGGCAGTTAGCAGCAGGAAAAGCAAAGTTGCATATGAAGGAACAATACTAACAGTACACTATGTGGGTTATCTACAGATACGTCATCATCCTAACACAATCATTAAGTTCAATTCCACTAAAAATATTCCAAGGTTGGAGAGCAGTGGAAAATGGGGAGAGGGGTATTATCAAATCTTCACCTTCCATTATTTTTTCTGTATATGTATGTTCATGCATGTGAAAATGTCTGCCTTTGTGTGTGGAGAGCAGAGGACACCTCAGCTGCAGGTTTTTAGGAATGCTGTCATCTTGTTTTTGAGACAAGGGTCCCCCACCGGCCTAGAATTTGCCAAGAAGGTAAGAAGTCTCCTGTCCCTTCCTCCTAGTACTGGGATTTCAAGCACTCACCACCACTCCCAGTTTCCTCACCTTCTTACTGAAGACAACTGATCAGAAGATAGGAAGTAAAGGCACAGCAAAATAAGGATTTTATTTATTGTTGCTCTTTTGTTTTTTGAGACAGAGTAGCTCTGGTTGTCCTGGAACTTAATATGAAGACCAGGCTGGCATTGAACTCACAGAGCTCTTACTGCCTCTGCTTCCCAAACGCTGGGCTACAACACCCAGTTAGGATTTCATTCAAGAGTGCATAGTTAGATATTAAAAGAAAGCTAGAATGGTTTAAAGGAGTTGTTTTTAGAAGATCCAAGAGCGGAGGAGCAAGGGAGTCACCCACTGTCTTATCACAAACCATGCAGTACCATTCAGCTTATGATATATATACACATGTATAACATACAATACTCATGACACATGTATACATATAATGCAATGTAGTTTGTCTTCTAAAACAGGCTACTCAGAAATTCTATGAGCAAAACATGCACTCTCTCCTTCCAGGACAACTACAGCATTTTCTCATACTCTTGGCCCTCATGCTCACAACAGGACTATATTACATCCCTTCCCATGTACAGGATCCACTGACATCAACAGTTTCCCAGAGGAAAATAGTGAATTTTAATAAGATGAGCCATTAGTGACCACAAATACTTACCATGTCTACCTTCATAAGGAACAAGTGAACTCTCAAGTTGTTCTGTTTAGCTACTGATAGTCTTTGGGAAATGAAATAATTAAACATGCAAATATACTTAAATTATACTTGAAAGATTCAGAATATGTGTGACATTGAAGAGTATCACAATATAAACATAAAATACTTTTTTTTTTTTGGTTGAGACAGGGTTTTGGGTAGTTCAGGCTGGCTCTGAACTCAACAGTATTACTGAGTCTGACCTGGATCCTCTGGACCTCCTGGCTCCACCTCTCAAGTGCCGGGATTACAGACATGTACTTGTCAAGATCGATTCAAACAGAATAGCGTCCAATGCTACCTGCAGCGAAACGAGGCTTCTCTTCAACAAGGCCTTTCAATTCAGGCATCTGTCATAGTAAGTCTGTGGAACCTTTTTTCTCCTTTTATTTTTGTGGTACTAGAGACAGATCCAGGGTCTCGTGTATGCTACCAAAAACTCTACCACTGAGCCTCATCTCCAGCCCTGGGTAACTGGACTGCCTGGACATCTCAGAGATGGTCCTCAAATGAAGCCAGGAGTAATGACCCTTACTCAGCATAAAATGCAAAAACCCTCAATAAGAACCGGGACTAAAGCCATAAATATTCATTTGTCACCACAGATGCTTCAACTTACACTGTTATGAAGGGTGCTATTACTGCCTTGTCTGTGAGGGTCCATCCTGCCTCCTGTAGGAATGAGAAAGTTCACACTGATATGCTCTTAATTAGCATCCACCAAATATGTTGTAAATAGTTTTAAACTTACATATTAAAGATTAAAATACCATCTTTATCCAAGTTTATCTGCTTTCTTAATAGTTTACTTAATAGTTGCTGAAGACTGTAACAAATTTTGTTACTTTTCAAGGGCTTGTTCAGTTAAAAACACTTTTGAAAACCAGTGAAATAGTTCTGAAAGCTAATTAAAAATGTCTGGAACTCAAGTGCTATAGACTTTGAAAGTACACAGAATGAGCTGCAGGAGAGTACTCTGCACCTTTCTGAGCTCTGCTACAACAAACAGTGAGACAGCCAGACCTGACGCTCAGGAGAGCTGGCTCGCCAGGTATATACCAGGACATGTTAAAGTTCATGCATTTTCCTGAGCCAAGCATCATCCAGGGCTTCCTGCAGTATGTTTTTAGAACGCACATGAGCAGATATGCATTCTTTAAGCATGACACTTATGTTACCTAGCATATTTGGTGCTGCTGAAGAATCAGGTGGTACAGCTTGGTATGGCAAGTCAGTATTCAATTGCAAAAGATAGCCCTCAACCGTCGGCACTTCATCCCATTTGACATGGAAAGAGTTGGTAGTAGCTTTGATCAGCTGGACTTGTGACGGTGCTGGTGGTTTCTCTAAAGAAAAATATTTATATAGTGTCTTTAGTTTCAAATGCATCAATAATTTGCCAACACAGTTTTGGTGGACAGGAGCTTTGAAAACATCAGCAATGAGCACTGCACCTATTTACTGCACATACTTAAACAAATGTAGTTGGTCAAATAGTTTGAAGCTCTGATTTTACTCAATTTCTTCTACAAATAAAAGAACCCAATACCAAACTACTTATGTCATTAGAATCAGAAGGTTGATGATCTACCCTGAACATGCCTAATCCTGCCTGAGGGGAGAGACTGGGTATTCTAGAACTATTTCTCTGTTTAACTTAAGAAATTTTAATTAAAAAAAACCTGATTTTAAACCAACAGCATATATGCTAGAAAAACTACTGTTAGCAAAGATGACTTGAATACATTTTAGAAAAATACGAAGTTTTAATACCCCTTTAACAAAAATCAGTATTACCCAAAACACATAACCTTGGTATAAAATATTGCTAACATTTCCAAAAGTAACAAGTCTTTAAAGATCTGAGATTATAGCCAGGTGGTGGTTGCATGTGCCTTTATCACAGCACTCGGGAGGCAGAGGCAGGTGAATCTCTGAGTTCCAGGCCAGCCTGGTGTGCAGAGCAAGTTCCAGGACAGCCAGGAACTACACAGAGAACACAGAGAAATCGTCTTGAAAAACAAGCAAAAAGGCAGGGCGTTGGTGGCACACGCCTTTAATCCCAGCACGGGAGGCAGAGGCAGGCGGGCGGATCTCTGTGAGTTCGAGGCCAGCCTCCAAAACAATACAGAGAAACCCTGTCTCGAAAAACCCAAAAAAAGAAAAACAAAAAAAGATCTGAGATTATGTATCTTATGACAAATCTTCTGTATACACTTAGAAGGTCAGTGTGCTTCACGATGCAGAGGAAGTATGTTCCTAGCTTTGGACCATTAGCTAAGAAAATTCGACTTCTTGAGCAAGTTCAACATTTACTTCACTTTAAACTATCTCTTTAAAATATTTTTGTAATTATTTTACATATAAAGGTGTTTTGCTTTCGTGTGTATCTGTGCATCATGTGCATGTCTGGTGCACAGAGACCAGGAGGTGTTGGATCCCCTGGAACTGGAGTTACAGATGGTTGTGAGGCACCATGTGGGTACTGGGAATTTTGCCCTGGTCCTCTGCAAGAGTAGCCTGTGTCTTAACTGCTGAGTCATCCCCCCAGCCTCAAATGTATCTTTTTACTGAGGATCAGAAACATATTATGACAAAGAGGCCATAGCCAGTCCCATCCTATTTCCTAAACTAGTTTTTTTTGGAAACACAGCAGGACCCGTTTGTTACTGTTTTTTGCCTAGGGTTGCATTCATGCTTCAAGGTGAGTTAGGAGACCACATGGCCCAGTTCCTTCAACATTCCCATATGAAGTCCTCCACCATCCCTTTAACAATCCAAGCTGTTTACACTTCTCAAAGTAAGGCAACTCATGCCTGAATAAAAGCAAACATTTGGAAAAGTCTGGAAAATAGACCAAACAAATATTAATTTTTTTTTTTTTGGTTTTACAAGACAGGGTTTCTCTGTATTGTTTTGGAGGCTGTCGGACCAGCCCGGCCTCGAACTCACAGATCCGCCTGCCTCTGTCTCCCGAGTGCTGAGATCAAAGGCGTGCGCCACCACTGTCCAGCTCAAACAGATATTAAGGTAGAAGGCATGGAGAGAGTCTTTTAAAATGTAAATCCTGAAATAAATTTCTATGAAACTAAACAACGTGAGTCTCTGGACTGAAGGGGCCACTGAGAGCTCAACACGGAGACTAGGAGCAGACACCCAGGGTTGAAGAGATGGCTAGAGCACACCAGCTGTTCTTCAGAGCTCCCGAGTTTACTTCCCAGCACATGCATCAGGTGGGTCACACCATTTGTAGCCCACACTCCAGGGATCAGATGCCTCTGGCTTCTGAAGGCATCTGCACTCACTCACTTGCACACACTAAAATTCAGACCTACAAATAATTAGAAATAACCGAAACAAAATCTCCTTTTAGAAGAGCCAAACAAACATGCAAGGAAGGAGAATGGTGGCACATACCAAAGGCAAGAGGACTATGTATCTGAGGCCTCTTGGGTGATTGTGGAAGATTCTGTCTAAATAAACAGAAACAAACCACCAGCTTCATAAGATTTAAAATTTTCAGGGAAAAAAAATCTAAAAGATTCTAGAGGCAGGGGGAGGAAGGTCATGTTGAAAAGAACTGAAAATGTAAGAAAGTCAACTCAAGGCAGGCATTGGTGGTGCATGGTACATGCCTTTAATCCCAGCACTCGGGAGGCAGAGGCAGGTGGATCTCTGTGAGTTTGAGACCAGCCTGGTCTACAGAGTGAGTTCTAGGACAGCCTCCAAAACAATACAGAGAAACCCTGTCTTGAAAAAAAAAAAGTCAACTCAAGTCACAGGCATAGGTAGTTTTCACAAGAACTTTCATAAGGACTCCAATCATTCAGGAAATGTAACAATTATCACAAATGGAACTACATGAAATTAATTTCTGCATAGTAAAGGAAAGTGTTAGCAAGTAGAGGTTGATCACAGAATCAGAGAAAGTCTTTGCCATCTGTGAAAGATTGTTAGTTAGAACACACAAAGAATTCAAAAACCTAATAGCAAGAAAACAAACCACCCAATTAAAAGTGGAATTTAATAGTAAGGAATTTTCAAGAGAAAATAAAAATGGCTAATAAATATTTTTAAATGTGTTCAACATCCTTGACCATCAGAGAAATGCAAATTGCAACTATTGAGACTCTGTCGTCAAGAACAAACAACAGCAAACACGGTAAGAATGAGGTGTGCAAGAGAAAGTGCTGCTCAAGCTGTGAACTGGTAGAGACATCATGGGCAGGAGTGGGATTCCTCAGGGGCTAGAGAGAGAAGTCCACTCCATTTAGTTATACCACTCCTGGGCATCTATCTAAAGGGCTTTCCATTGCATTACAGACATGCTTCCTTATCTCTCTATGGCTGCTTGATTCATAATAGCAAGGAAATGCATTAGACTAAATGTCTATCAATGGGTGAATAGTGAAAAACTGGTACACAGGCACAGAGCAAAATAGAACAACAGTTTGAAAAAATAGATGGAACTGCAAAATATAAATGAGGCAGCCAAGGCTTAGAAAGACAACGTCCTCTCATTCAGGTCTCAACCTCTGCATCACTGTATGGAATGTCTGTGCAGGAATGAGGGGGCAGACTCCAGGAGAGGGAGGAAATTACTCTTAGATTAAATCTGTTGCCTATGTCATCTGACCACTTATGGAAGCTCTGCGCAGACTCACACCCTCTTCTGACTAAAGATGTTACTAAGGACGCCGAGGTGCTCTCTGCATCTGCACATTTGTACAACTACCTCCACAGAGCTCCCTTTATTTTCATCTGGATGCCTTTCACTTTTCATTCTCTTTATGGAAATTTAAATTGAGAAGTGGTTTGAGACTTTGAAATAAAAGACTAGTGTTGTTGACAAGAAACGAAACTAAGACATTTTACTTCATTTTTATTTTACGTAGGGGTGTTTTGCTTACAATTGTCTGTGTACCTGTAGAGGTAAAAAACAAAAAAAAACAAAACAAAACAACAAAAAAAAACCAAAACGGTATCAGATCCCCTGGATCTTACATGTGTGCCTGGTGCCTGAGGAGGCCAGAAGATGGTACAGTCTCCCTGCAACTGGAGTTACTGTGAACAACCATGTGGGTGCTGGGAATCAACGTCAGGGCCTCCGCAAGAGCAGCCAGCACTATTAACTGCTCAGGGTCTCTCCAGCCCTATGGTGCTTTTAAGATTATCTGGGTTTTAGCATAAAATTCTATTTGCATCAAAAATATCAAATAAATGTGTACATACCCATTGGCCTGGGGTGGGGAAGGGGCACGAGGGTGGTTTTTCGAGACAGGGTTTCTCTGTGTGGCTTTGGAGCCTGTCCTGGAACCCGCTCTACTGCTGCTACCTTCTGAGTTCTGGGAAAAAGGTGTGCACCACCTGCCCCCTCCACCCTCATCTCATTTCCTCTATCTTTCTGTTGTGGTGTGTAATGTATTTCTTTTTGCCATTTTAATTTTTGAGACAGGGTTTCTCTGTGTAGCCCTGGCCGTCCTGGAACTCGATCTGTAGACCAAGCTGGCTTGAACTTGGAGATCTGCCCATCTCTGCCTCCTGAGTGCTGGGATTAAAGATGTAGGCTACCAATATCATGCCTGCTGACTCAACAGATCTTTTAAAAAGAAAAAAGAATGAGGATATAAAATTCTGTGGGTACAGGGTAGAGGAAGAAGGTAAATATGATCAAAACACAAAGTGCAGAGCTAAAGAGATGGTTCAGTGGGTACTTATTGCTCTTGCAGAGGACCAGGGTTCCATTCCCCGCATCCACATGGCGGCTTACAGCCATCTGGAACTCCAATTCCAAAATGTCTGATGGTCTGCACATGCACCACAGAGCATGTATGGACACATTAGAGGACAACTTGCATGAGTCAGTGCTTTCTCTTTCCAACATGTGGGCCCCAGGGACCCGGCTCATGCTGTCAGGCTTGACAGCAAGCATCATTATCCTGCTGGCCCTACTTTAAAACATCTGCTGCAACTATTAACAAATGCTCTAAAATGTCCTTTAATCTGAGGCTATCTGGTATTTTTGCAGCATTATACTGAGGTTATAGATTTTTAGGAAAGTACCAACAGGGGTGGAGTATTTCTTACCACATCTTTTTTTTTTTTTTTTTTTTTTTTTTGGTTTTTCGAGACAGGGCTTTTCTATGTTTAACAGCTCTGGCTGTCCTGAACTCGCTCTATAGACCAGGCTAACTTTGAACTCAGATATCCACCTGCCTCTGCCTCACAACAGCTGGGATTAAAGGCATGGGCCACCACTACCGCCCTGCTCTTTTGCCATCTTTTCTTAAAATGAGGTGTAAATGATACCAAGAGAACTTATCACTAGTGATAACAATCTTTGCAACTTTGATGAGGTTGCAAGGTCTGCTCATTAAAGTAAAGAGTATTTTCTTCTTTCCTGCTTTGGGAAGGAATCTTTCAATCCACCCTACATTCAAGAAGAGAGGAATTAATATACTCCTTTGAAGTGGGGAAGTTATGTTTCTTCCAGGGATATCTGATTGTAAGAAAAAGATGAAATTATGTTCATTTTAAGCCTTTAAGGACCCATACTGAATATCTATAGTTAAAACTTAATTAAGTACTCTTACCTACCAGTATCAAGATACCAAAGATCCTTGCAGCAAACTTGACTATTAAGTGCTTTTTTGTAGCCATCTCTTCCACTCCAGAAATACAACCTAGTGCCAATTGCAACAGCACAGTGCCCAGCTCTTGGTCTTGGCCTTGAATTTTTTTTATCTTCCTGAGAATCTGATACTAGAGTGGTCCACTCCGCTGTATCTAAAAAGAAAATGTCCATGACTCAGTTATTGCTCTTAAGCAGTAAATAGCAAAAATTACTTTATTATGTCAATGACAAGTTTCCAAAGACTCACCCAGATTTAGGTAAGAAAATGAGCTGGTGCATCTCCATTCACAATCATGAGGTGAACTCTCAGTATTTTCCCCCTTGTGTGGAACCCATCCACCAAAAATGTACATCCTGGACAACAAAAGGAAACCAAGAACTTAAAGTGTTTTATTTTACTTTTTGGATAGGAAATACAAAATGAACTTAAATTTATTTGTTGGCGTAAAACCTGGAACTACTCACTCACCTACTACACTGTAAAGGTAGTATTATATAAATAAAATGAATGAAATGGTCTTCTAAAAGAGTTTACCATTTTAAGTCAGGGTGGGATACATCTAAAGTCATGGGTACTTGGGAAGCTAGGGGAAAAGAAGGATTATGTGAGTCCATGAGTTTAAGGCCACACTGGGAAATGAAACAAGAGCCTGACTCAACAACAGTAACAAATAAATTTTTTTCGACAACTTTATAAAGCAGTACTAAACCAAAATTATACTCGACAAGTAAGTTTAAGTGAAGAGTGTTTCAACTATAATACACTGGAAAACCAGCCCTGTGTGTACTACAGAAGAGCACAGCATCCATCTCTGTGCCTCTTGACTACAGACGCACTCTGAGTTCCCCAAAATGGTGGACTATAATCTCCAACTGTGAGCACAATTAGCCCTTCTTCCCTAAGTAGCTTTTGTCAGGGTGTTTTAATTACATTAGCAGAAAAGTAACTAAGACAGTGACCAAAAAATGAAATTTCATGTAACCTTGGGTCACTGCTATTACTTGAGCATAACAACTTAAGTCTGGTATGGCTATGAATGCCTGTAGTCCCAACTGCACGGGAGGCTATGGTAAACGGATGCTTGAACAAGCCTGGTGGTGCAGGCTTACAATTCCCACTACCAGGCAGGGTGAAGCAGAAGATCACAAATTTAAGGCCTGCTTGGGCAAGCTAGTGAGACTGGTCTTCAAATTTAAAAAGGGGGGGATGGAGTTCTGTGTCTGGTAGGACATTTGTGAATACCTGTAAGGTGGTCAGTTCAAATTCCAGCACTGTTAAAAACAACCTTCAACTTTTCCCCAGCACTCTAAAGGTTCTTGTCAGAACACTGTCCAAGAATGGAGTAGTGTCAAAATTCTGAGTACTTGTGGGAAAACTCCAAGAAAACCACCTCAGTTTCTTCAAAACACAGACTTGTCCTGGGAATGTTCTCCTGCTCCTCCTGGATGCAGTGGATGGAATTTAACTTCAGCTGCTGTTAGTCATACACCTCCATGGAAAACATGCTTTCCATAGCCACTAGTGTCTGTCCTTTTGATTCAACATCTTACTCTTGTGCTTCTTAACCCTCAGAATGAAGCTGGCCATCGCGTAATACTTAGTCTACCTTATTTTTAGGCCCTGCTCTCCCAGGTTCATGCTGCCAATTAGAGTGATAAACAGTTCTTTTTAAAATTTTAAAAAATATATTTCATGTGTATGGGTGTTTTGCCTACATATATGCATATTAGATATACTTGTGCCTGGTGCCTCTCATTCCCTAGGACTGGAGTTAATGATAGATGTAAACCCCATGTAGATGCTAGGAATCTAACCAGAGAGAGGACAAAGTTGGGCAATACCTGCTGACACTTAGGTCATGCCATGCCAGGAAAGACATGGAGAGGAAGATAAACAGGTATCACAGACAGTCCTAAAAGAAGTTGTACAGCTGTTTCAGCTCTCACAGACAAATTACTTTAGCTATGGTCAGCACAACAAGGCATTATTATGCTTGCTAGTCTATTTCTAAGAAATTAGCATCTTTACTATTCTTTGTATGAATCTTTCAAGTTGATGAAAATAAGAGCTAAAAGGCAAACAACAAAAGAAAGTCATACTTGTTTCCGATAACACTGGCTGTATGAAGGCTTCGTGGAAGTGGTACTGTCCCCTTAGTTTCTGGTTTTGACCATGACATTGTTTCTAGAAATAAAAACAAGCAAATCAGGAACTCTATCTAATAATAGGAAATCACCTTAATTTATACACCTAAAAACAGAACAAAAGTAGTTATCAAAGCGAAGCAAAAATGTTTCAAATCAGTTGTCTGAATTTCATTTTAAACATTTCCAGACCACAAAAACTTGTAATCAGAAATCAACTTACATTTGAATTTAACATCATACTGAAGAGGTATGCTTAAAATGTCATTAATTTTCAGTAACAAATAATATTTCTGATTTTCCCATTTGACATGAATTTATCAGGCAGTCAAAAATAAGAAGCACATTTCCAATCACTCTGAACATTCAATTGTTCAAAGTGATTAATCAGGTCAGCTGCTCCTGAGACTGTAAATGCTGACTATAATCTTACTGCAAGTTGACAAAAACACTTTAAATACATTTACATTTTCCCTTACCAATCATAAATTCCTGAATCAAATTAAGATTACCTAAATCAAGCTGCCATAGGTCATCCAAACGAGCACCACACATTCCACCAAAAACATACATCTTAGGACTCCCAGAGTCTTTTTTACAATATATAATAGCAGTATGGGATTCTCTTGGAGAAGGTACAATGCCTTTGGTGGTTGGAATGCTCCAGCCCACGACTCCAGAACCATGCTGTAGTTCCAACTCATAGAAATCATTTAAATACCTAGGATATCACAAAGGAAATAAAAACGTTCAGATAATATGTATGCTTTATTTTGATTCATAAATATATGCTAGCCACACACAACAGCGCACTCCTGTAATCGTAGCACTTAGGAGTTTGAGGCAGGAGGACCATGAGTTCCAGGTCGGTATGGACCAGACACCCTATCTCAAAAAAGAAAAGGAACAGAAAAGGGATGATTGAGAGATCTTAGCAGTAAGAGTGTTTACTTCTCTGGCAGAGGACTCAAGTTGGGTTCTTAGTACCAACATCTAGTGGCTACAACCGCCTGGAACTCCAGTTATAGAGGATCTGATGACCTTTTCTGTCCCCGGTAGGTGCCTGCATGCACATGGTACAATTAACTCAATGGTTTTAAAAAGAAAAAAATGTCTATCATATGCTCATTGTAAAAAATTTTTTTTCACACTACAGAAGACACTAAGCAAGCAAAACTTCCAGATACTCGTTTATTCCATACATATTTATCAAACTCTACTATGTCCCAGGTACCTACTATAACAGTGAAGACAGAAAACATCTGCCAATTCATTATTGACAATTGTGATGCCTTTAAGACACAGTTCCAAATGCCTGGTATTCTTTCCATTAAGCAATGAGGTTCTTCTCCCTCATTGCTGGTCTGTGATGGCTCTGAACAAGGGTGCCACAGCTGGCTTGTCAAAGGCCAGTGTATTCTTAATATAATACTGCTTGTGGAACTCTCAACCATGCCTGGAAAGGCCACTCAAAGGTCTGGGTACATAGCTCACTTGGCAGGGTGCCTACCCAGCATGCAGAAAGTGCTAGTCTTTAGTAATATATATCCCAAGCATGGTGGCACATGCTTATAATCTCAGCACTCAGGAACTATAGTAGGATGATGAGAAGTTCAGTATTCTTGGCTATATAGTCCAAAGCCAGCCCAGGCTATATGAGACCCTGTCACAAGAGACATATGTTGGCATGTCAGGCGATAGCTCAATTGAATCCATCTTTCAGCCACCTCAATTAACTCCCAGATGTGAGGACAACCACTCAAGCTTTCCCTTTGTGCCGTTTGATTTCCTTACTTAGAGTTCATGAATATAATAAAAGATACGACTTTGCACCATTAATTTATTACGCAGCACTAGATAACCAACAATTATTATGGACAATATTTCGGCAAACATCTTGAAGGCATTGCCATCTGGAGTAAGTGTTGCTTTGCAACCTTTTTAGCACACGATGTCATAGTGATGTCCTAAATAGTGTCTTTAGTTTAGAAACTGACATTAAACTTGTCCTAAACAGCTTCTTTCCTTTAAAAAACTGTCATTACTGTGTGACATACATTTTTTTTATTATAGGGGAGAGCTCAAATGCAGTGCTTCTGCAATGACTTTTAGTAGATGCACACATATGCCAGAGCATGGGTAAGCAAGGGGATATTAGGTTGTCTTCTCAATCACTCTCTACCTTTTATAATTGAGGCAGTCTGTCCCTGAACCTGGAACTTGGTTTGTTTTGTCTGGTCTGCCTTTGTTTTGTCTAGTCTTGCCCAGAGTTCTTCTGTTTCTGCTTCCTGTCAGATGGGATTACACACTGGCCACTATACCCCCCTCAATTTTTATGTGGGTTCTGGAGATACAGATTCAAGGTTCTCATATTTGCATGACAAGAGCTTAATCTGTTGAGCTAACTCTCAATTCCAAAATAACTTTTGAAACAACTAATTCAATTCCCTACTAATTTTTTCTCAAGTAGAAGGGAAAACGCAGAAGTTTAGAACATAAAATTTCCAAGTTTAGGGGCTTAGTGATTAAGAGCACACACTGCTCTCCCAAAGCATGAGCTCAGCTGCCAGCACCCATTTCAGGTGGCCCACAGTCGCCTGTAACTCCAGCTCCAGGGAGAGTCAACACCTCTGGCCTCACTGGGCATCCACACCCACAGTGCATACCCGCACACAAACACCCACATATACACATAAGTAAAGATAAATCCTTACAGTTGGTGTGGTAGCACACACATTTAATACCAGCATTCAGGGATGCAGAGGCAGGTGAACCTCTGAGTTCCAGGCCAGCCTACATGGGGAAGGCCTATCTTGAAATAGACAGACAGATATTAAAGAATAAAAAACAAAACATGCATTGAAAAGTACAAAAGAAAAGAGACAGTGATTCATTCTCTTTGGAAATAGGAGGACAGTGTTTGCTGGTGTGATAGACCTAATAGACTGTATGATGTATGAGAACAATGACTTCCATTTAATAAACATATCTCACAACAAGTTTTCAGAGAAAACCAATTTAAAAATAACCATGTTACTGTTTGGTATTGTACATGACCCACTTAATGTGAATTATAGCTCAAGACACAAATATACTGACAAAGCAATTATACAAGTATCAATTTAATAAGATGATTTCTGATTTGAAAACATTCTCTAGGGACTGAAAAACATACATATGTAAACTAATTTATTGTTAGTTTCAAATATAAATATGTAAGCTTAAGTCTTACAACTTAATATAAACTAAAGATAAAGTGTTGTAACCCAAATCATAAAACAAGCACTCGGTCTACCAAGAGCATACCTGGGAACGTTATTATTTGAATCTTCACTTTCGTTTGCCAGACCACCAAACAAATAGCATTTGTTACCATATAAAGAGAAACTATGTCCAAGCCGAGGACAAGGAGGTAAACCAGAAGGAGGAGGTTGGGGTTTCACTTTTTTCCATAACCAACGACTTGCCTAAAAAAGACGATTATTTGTATGAAAACAGGAAGCATTTCTATCTCAGTACTGTCAGCAGTGAACCACCATCCCAACACATCTGAATCTTACTCTCATCAGAAGATCCGATTAGCTCCTCTGGGGACAAATGACAAATAAGTGACTGACTTCTGGCTCTTTTGTTGAGACATGGTCTCACTATGAACTCCCTACACAGTGAATTACAGAACAGTTCTAGGTTGGCCTCAAACTCCAAGAGATCTGCCCACCTCTGCCTCCCAAGTGCTAGAATAAAAGGCATTATACCCAGAGAAGTGATTAACTTCTGAAATTAAAATGTCCATCCTAGTAAGGCTGACTGTGGTAGTCCCAGAATTTGTGAAGTAAGAGGTTCAGTAGGTGAAAGCTATCATTGGCTACTGAGTGAGTTTAAGGGCAGCCTGGACTATGTGAAATTTGTGTCACGAAGCTGTAAGTATGTATGTATGTATGTACGTACGCATGTATGTATATGTGTGCATATGTGTTATTAAATATTCAAGTAAATCTTCTACATACATATTTCCATAATGATACACTGTTTGTAACAACAATAAATACTATCACTTCTAATTTCTTTCAAGTGAAAAAATAAGTATTTATATGTAGAACTTTAAGATTAGATGTATTAGCCAGGCAGTGGTGGCGCACGCCTTTAATCCCAGCACTCGGGAGGCAGAGGCAGGCGGATCTCTGTGAGTTCGAGGCTGGGCTGGACCGACAGCCTCGAAAACAATACAGAGAAACCCTGTCTCGTAAAAAACAAAAAAAAGATTAGATGTATTTCATGAAATCTTTTATATGTGAGGTAATCCATGAATGTTAAATATTTAACCTTTAAATAAATAAAACTCATTTAACAAATCAAATTCCAAAATGAGAGTCTTCTCTATTTGAAATGGTTGCTTGCTTGGAAATATGTACAACCCATTCACATCTGCCAGTGGCAGAGTTGCTCATGATCATGGTCTTTGGAACATATCAAGTCAACAGAATTTAGAAAGGCTATATGAAACTGTAACCTCTCTCTGCATGCCTGTGTGGACGGGTATTATTACTGTTAAAGGAAACCATTCCTCTCATACTAAGACACTGGTTTTCAAAGCATGCTCTGGGTGGCAGACACATAAATGTACAGGTCCCAGCACAAACAATACTGACTCCAAAAACCCAGGGGCAGGCCCCAGAAATCTGTTTTCACCAGCCCAAAAGCATCTGTGTTGTAGGCTAAAGGCCAAGTGCACTAACACAAAAACCTAAACATAACAGTGTAAGTACTGCTAAAGCTTTGTCACATCTTTATGCTTTAAGCACCATACCAGACATAAGTGACACTTTGACTTGTCAGTGAAGTGGAAACATTTTCTTCGAAGCTATACAGTATCGAGCATCTGTTACTGTACCTGTGACTAATAAAATATTTCATAATCTTTTTAAAAAATTATGACTGAAATAATAAATGTGAAATACACTTACTTGTAGCTCATATAACTCATTGCTGTATCTTCCATATTCAACCATTCCCCCAAATACTAGTATTCTAGTACCATCACAGACAAATCCATGGGCTGCACAACCTGGAGGGATGTCTCCTCTAACAGCTGGTAGGAACCACTGATTTGTAACTAGTATCCAAAAAAATAAATAAAGTCAATTTCAACAAATAATAGTTACCACAGTCCATAAGCTCGGTAAATATGTCAAAGAATATATACACATAATCAAAGTATATACACACACTTACATGTAGCTATCCTATATTCCAGCTGTTCTCAATTGGGTATTCTTTTGCTCCCAGAACTATGCTGACTTTGCAAGGCTCAAACTCATACTCAGTTGTCACAACTGGAAAGGAATAGCTACTACCAACTCATGGGTACAGTCTGAGGATGCATGCATCTTCCCATACAATGTCCCAAAATGTCAACAATGTTGCTGTTGAAAACCCTGATTTGCATCATTTAACTCCTAGGAAAATCCTAGTGGGCATCATTGACTTTGCAGAAGTGGAAACCCTGAGATTTTGAAAGGCTTGGTAATTTTAATGCTGATTTTGAACAATTGGCAAAGCGAGAGTCTAAACAAGTGTGATTTCTTCTAAGTCCATGGTATTTATATCAAATTAAACACTCTTTAAACTTTTCATCTTGGAGTATTGGGGAGGGTAGCAAAGAGAATCAAAATTAATAGTTTCTCCTACCAACTTAAGCCTTTAGAGGACTACTGTGATCAAGCTTTCTGTGAAATATATCAACCCCAAACTCAATAACTAGTCTTAACTAGTTTCCGACGATTGCTAGATTACTAGTGGAGAAAATAAAATTCCAGCCCGCATGGAGGTAAAGGCTTGTCCCCCTGACCAGCGACCCCTCGCGCTGTGCAGCGGTGCCTAGGCTACGACAGTCCTCTCTGCGAGGACCAGTCCAGAAGAGCAGCGCTTGTACATCCCTCAACCGCAAACACCTTCCCCGCCAGTTTAGAGAAGGTCGACCGAGAAAGTCTCGACGGCTTCCGCCAGATGCTGAGTACCGAAGCCAACGGGCCCGAAGGCCTCCCCGACCCTCCCTTCTCTGCCGAGGCCCGGCCCGGGGTGGGTTTTGTGTCTGGCAGCGGCGGGATCCGGGGCCCCGCAGTGGGGAGAAGCCCGGACGGTGAGAGCCGCTGCCTCCCTCGGGTCCGCGGGCAGGGACGGGCTGGATGTCTCGGCGCCCAGCCCGCGGGCCCGGGAAAGCCGAGCGGCCCTCCAGCACGTCGCGAGCTCGGGCTGCCGACCCGGCCCGGGCTCCCCCGCCGCCGGCGGCCGGCCGGGCTGGGAAGCGGCGACCCGGTGGTGACAGCTGTCAGGCCCGCGTCCGCCGCGCCTCCCCTTCCCCTCCGCGGTCCCGAGGCGGGGTCGCCGAGCCGCCGCCTACCGGTGTTGTAGACGTGCAGCTCGTCCGCGATGCCCTCGTTGCCCCCGCCGAAGATGATCATCAGCTCCCGGATGGCCACGGCTCGGTGTCCGTGCCGGGCGCGGGGCACCGGCCCTGTGAAGGAGGAAACCCGCCTCCAGTTGAGGAGGCTGGGAGCCGCCATCTTCCCAACCCCCGCCCCTCGGCCCACAATGCCCCGCGCGCCACGGGCTCCACGGCTCGTGGGGAGGGCGGGCACCGCCTCCAGCTGTGCGCGGGAGGCCCGGCACGTGACCCGCGGGCCCCGCCCCCAGCCCGTGGCGACGTGGCCCTCGGGCGCCGCCAGGACGGAACCCCTCCCCGCGACCCTGGTCCTCCCTGGGCTTCGCGTGGAGCGTCCGGGCAGGAGGGGCAGCCCTGGTCCTCTAAGTCCGCTTCGGGCATCTCCTGCGTGGGCGTGCCACACCCTCCAAACCGGTGTCACTCGCCCGCGCTGGAGAAGAGCTGCCGCAGAGGTCCCTCGTGCCCGGAGGTCAGGGCGGGCCTGGGGCAAATCTGTCACCTCACAGGAGGTTCCCGCACCCCGCAGGGGCCGAGCTCTCATCAGATTTGGAGGTGTTGGGTCTTGACAGCCAAAGTTAGCCCCGAAGGTGATGTGGGTTGTTTGGTTTAAGCACGAGTATTAGTCGCCTTGCTGGTGTCATAAAATACCCTAACGAAAACGACCGAAGGAAAAAGGATTTTTTTTTTTTCGACCCACAAAGAAGCCCATCACAGTGAGGAGGCTTGGCAGGAGGCGGCTGGTCACATTTCATCTACAGAGAGCCACTGATGCTGGACCCAGCTGCCTTGTTAGTCCAGTTGCTAACCTAGGGAACAGTGCCACTCACATTTATCTCTACCTTAATTAACCTAATCTTGATAATCCCTCATAGACCTGCCCACAGGCTTGTCCCCCAGGTAAACCTGGAGATAGTATCAAGCTGACAATATTGACTATCACAGCAGGTCACTGCTAGTTAACAACAGTGTTTCCATACCCCAGCACCATCCTAAATTACCTTCTTTGTAACTCAATCATTCCAGCTGCTGAAGAAGTTTGGCGTTTCCTGTAGTGGTTGGGGAAATGAGGCGCTTGGCTATGGAAAGTTGCTCGGGTACTCGACAGAAAAGGACCACAGGCAGGATTCGAACAGCCTAACTGATGAACTATTGCTTCTGAAGAAAGGCATTTATAGCCCTTAATCACCAAAACGCCTGGCAGTTCCGTTCCATACCTGCTCACAAAGCAATAAAGCTAACATTTAAAGCAACTGAACTCTCTGTCTCTAATTATCAAGATGATACTGTAGGAACACACACTGCAATGGTTTTCTGAAACCCGTTTTCTCTCATCTCTTACAAATTTCATTTCTTTCATCCACCTGCCTCACACTCCCATCTCCTCCCTCAAAGCTAAGTGCATCTCTCATCCACCAAAGCTTTCTTGAGAATTCTCTTCATTTGTATTTAAGACTCCTTACTGTCATTGTAATTTCTTCGTATTGTTGTGCACCCCTGTGCTCTGGATTGAACCCAGGACCTCCATGCTCAACATGCTGTGAAGTAATTATTCTTTGACCCAATTTCATAAAATGACCCCCCAAAGACTACAAGAACTAGAGGAAGAAGACGTCTGAGAGCATATAAAAGATTTAGTGAATATTTACGTTTTAATTTGTAACGTAACTCTTAAATATGAAGCATCTGAAACAAACTGGTTGAGTTACAGAAGTTTTGCCGGGCGGTGGTGGCGCACACCTTTAATCCCAGCACTCAGGAGGCAGAGGCAGGCAGATCTCTTGTGAGTTTGAGGCCAGCCTGGTCTACAGAGCAAGTTCCAAGACTGGCTCCAAAGCTACACAAATAAAATCCTGTCTCGAAAAAACAAAAACAAAAAAACCTACAAAGTGTTTAAAGGAATTGTATCCCCCCCACACACTTCAGTGCTTATGTGATAGTTTGTTGTTGTTGCTACTGTTGTTAATATTCTTAGACAGAAAGACTTAGGGGGAAATTAAAAGTTGCAAACTTAGTGTTAATTGGGAGAGTCTGTTCCCCAAGCCTGCTATATCAAAGTACCACAAATCTGGTGGCTTAAAATAGTTGAACAGCATTCAGTAAGCAGAAACAAGCAGATTTCTGTGAGTTTGAGGCCAACCTGGTCTACATAGTGAGTTCCAGGACATTCAGGACGATGTATGTAGAGAGACCCTGTCTCCAAAAAATAAAAAATAAATAAAAAGTAGAACCTGGGTTTGATTTCCAGCACCCACTTAGTCGCTCATAACCATCTGGGACCTCTGATCCAAGGGATCCAGCGCCCTCTTCTGGCCATACCAGACATACCAGACATACCAGACATACCAGACATACCTGTGGTTCATAAACATACCTCCAAGCAAAACATCCATACTCATAAAATAAAAGTTAAAAAAATAAAAACACAGGCAATGGTGGTGCATGCCTTTAATCTCAACACTGGGGAGGCAGAGGCAGGCAGATCTCTGAGTTCTGAGTTCAAGGCCAGCCTCGTCTACAGAGTGAGTTCCAGGATAGTTAGAGCTTCACAGAGAAATCCTGTCTTAAACAAACAAACCAACCAAAAATCCCAGTAGAACTGTCTCACAGTTCTAGAGACTAGAATTCTGAAACCAAGGTGTCAGCAGGACAGAACACCAATGGAGGCACAGTTTAGGAGGATAGAAGGAGGGTGTGTGACAACCCCCAAGAAGACAGTGTTTACAAAGTTGTGACAGACAGCCAAAGGGAACTGAGGACTTGTTCTATGGGTTTGGCTTTGGAAACCACCTCCCCCTCTATGAACCTCCCTCTGCCTGTGGCTTCCTGTAACTATCAACTCTCACCAAGCTCCCTTTGACCTCCTGGCCATTGGTGTTCCATCTCCTTCGGAGGCCATGCTGAGTTCGGGTAGGAGGAGGAGCTGCCTGTTGGATTTGCAAATTAGGAGGTCATTGGGCTGGAGTAAAGCACTTTCGTGAGGAGGAGGAGCTGGAAACTCTGGGGAATGAGTAACAAGGGGAGGCGCAGAGAACACAGACGATGCTTACTCTTTTGAGCTGTGGCCATGGAAGCAAGGGCACGTGCTGCACTCGGGCAGTGCCTGGCACACAGTCCTCATCTCCTCCGTTCTGTTACTACCTTTCCCAGTCCTGTTCCTCAGCTGCACGGCATTGTAGCTATAGGGCAGAGACAAGGGTGGCAGACAGCTGAGTGTAGCCCACAAGTTCCCGTTGAGGACTCAGGCCAAGGCTTTGTGTTCTGGGGAACGCTCACAGTGGGCTCAAGAGCGGTGTCTAGGCAGGCACAGGGGCTGTTCTCAAGATGAGGGAAGAAGAGAGAGAGTAGCTGAGACGTCTGCAGACAGCTCATAGGCTCCAGCCGTGGTCTCAGCTAGAGCTGTGGCCAGGCCGTGGGGAAGGAAGAGCAAGGCCGAGCTCTGGGCCGTGCGGAACCTAACCTAGCTTCCCGGGTAGAGACTTAGACTCAAGAGCAGAGGATGCAAACCACTTACAGCTCATGAGAGCCCAGTGCAAAAGCCATCACTGCCCCCTCAGCAGGTAGGAAAAAGTGCCCAGAACACTGAAGTTCAAGGTGCCGAGACGATGACCCACAGCTGAGGTCCACCAAGCAGGAGGGACCGCGCTTCTACTGACATTTCCACATCCTGTGTGTGGTCCTGGAGGCCAGCCATGAGAGACAAAGGCAAAAAACAAAACAAAACAAAACCCCAAAACTTACCAGTTTGACCCAGTGTCGTGATTCGTTAGCTTGGCTACTACAGCACGCTCCCCTCCTTCGTTCGTCTTAGGAGACACCATCTCACCACTAACTGCCAACAGCTCCTTAGGGGAGATGTAGGCTTCATCCTCTACCCCACCATCCGTGAAGGCATATTGGTAGGTCCACTGCAGGTCTTATGCAGGTGTTAACCACAACTTCTCTGAGTTCACAAAACCCTTCTACTCATATTCGTAAGCAGTCCTAATCAAATTCAGTAGGACACACACATAAGACATGAAGATAGAAGAGGGACTGAATAGTTGGGGAGAAGGATTCAAGAAGAGAGGGGAGAAAGACAAGTTAATGGGGACATGGCCATCATCGAAGCATATATATGTATGAAACTGTCAAAAATAATGAGTAGATATTACCTAAGGTATTAAAAAAAAAGTCGGGCGGTGGTGGCGCACGCCTTTAATCCCAGCACTTGGGAGGCAGAGGCAGGTGGATCTCTGTGAGTTCGAGGCCAGCCTGGTCTACAAGAACGAGTTCCAAGACAGTCTCCAAAGCCACAGAGAAACCCTGTCTCAGAAAAAAAAAAAGATATTTTAAAAAGACTCAGCATAAATCGATTCTGTTGGCAAGAAGAAATGACAAATGTTTGACTTTAAAAGAATAATGGCTCAGATACATATTTTAATGATGAATGGCACCACAGATTGATAGTGCGCACGAAGGGCAGATATTATTATGTTCAGCCATGAGCCTATGTCCTGAGATAAAAGCATCATTAAGTAAATGGTGAAGTTGTATTAAGGTATGACATCATAGAGAATACTTGGGCATACCTAAATGATGTAGGCTATACCTGGGCTATGTGGCATGGTATACATGTTTATTACAACATTATTCTTTTTTTTTTTTTTTTTTGGTTTTTACAGGGTTTCTCTGTATTGTTTTTTGGACCATGTCCTGGAACTCACTTAGTAGACCAAACTGGTCTTGAACTCACAGAGATCCGCCTGCCTCTGCCTCCCGAGTGCTGGGATTAAAGGCGAGCGCCACCACCGCCCGGCTACATTATTCTTTTCTTATTTTTAAGGTTTTTTTATTATTATTTGCGTGTGTGTGCATGCACATGTGTATGTATGCATGCAGGTATGTGCATGGGTAGATACCCTCAGAGGCCAGAAAAGAGCAACAGATCCCCTGGAGCTGGAGCTCTAGGTAGTTGTAAGCTGCCAATCAGGATTCTGGGAATCAAATTCTGTAGGAACAAGAAGTTCCCTAACCACTGAGAATCTCCCCAGCCCCATGATTTTCTTTTTAAAATGTAGCTAAAAAACAAACTAAGAAAAAAACTGAGGGGCTGGAGAGATGGCTCAGAGGTTAAGAGCACTGGTTCTCTTCCAGAGGTCTTGAGTCCAATTCCCAGC